AGACTGGTTCCCGCTCACTGGCTGAGCGCGGTGCGGGCGCAACACCGAGGGTTGTGATTCCATTGCCAGTCCCCGGTACGGGCACGACACCGAGGGTTGCGATCCTGTTACGGGTCAGTAAAAAAGACAAAAAGGAAAAAAAAAGAATTTGACTAAGGCAATCTAGCTAAAATTATGTGCAATAGAAACCTCTTTTTGTGTATTTGTCTTGTATGGATGTTTTGTACCATACAGTAGATGCTTTATGGATTCAAAGCAAATAGTACCAGCTCCCTGGTCTCTGTGAAACACGCTACCCCTTCCAATAGCTTCTCCTGATCTCTACATATTTTATCCAGTGAGCACACAATACTATTTAATTGCTGACAAAAGTGATTCTGAGACAGATGTCATAATAAAAACAAATCTTTTTTCCTATTCTCACATACTTTCACTTAACACAACATGCTTCGCCTCTGGTCACGAAAATGTGTGGGGATTTTTCCCTGCTGACCAACCAAGCAATTCTCCCATGGACACCAGCTGGGTGTCCTCTAATTCAATTCAATTCTGACTCTATCTACCCTCCTCCAGGATGGTGCTCCTCCTCCAGGATGGTGCTCCACCTTACCTTCCAACCCCTACCACCAGGTTGCAGAGGTCTCTCAGGAGGCACCTGCAGAAGCTCCTGGCTGCCCTCTCAGGGCTGGGCAACCCTTCAGCACTCACCTGGCTAACACCCTTGTGGGGGCCCCCTGCACCCTCAGGAAAAGCTCAAACCTACCAGCCAACAAAGCTCAATATGCTGATTTCTGCAGATTCAGCTCTTGCTGGATCTTCTCCTCACTCCTATTCTAACTTTGCTGAATGTATTCCCTCAAGGCACATGGGACCTGCGACCCTGAATTTGCACCTGCACCTTAATCATGTGTATTTGGGCTTACCCAGCCTGTCCTTAAGAAGCCCTTTCCTGGGCCAGTGTGGGCACTGTGGCCAGCTGTGGCTCCCAGTGCTGACTCCCTTCACACTTCGTTTCCTTTGCTTTGAAGCTTTCTTCACTAGGCTGTGGCTTCCAGAGCCAGGGCCTCTGGTCTCCTCTGTTGTACTCTGGGTGTCTAGCCCAGTGCCTGGCATATGGCAAATGAGTAAATGAATGAGGAATCCTCACTTACCTTTCCTGCCTCACTCACCTTTCCTGCCTCATTCTAGTGCATTAGATTCCAGCAGCAGCACTTTGCAATTCATGATGGCAGGACTCTGCTCTGAGAGCCTCTTAGCATGGCAAGCTAGAGCTTCTCTTCTTTCTCTATTTAAATCCCATTTTCCTTCTACACCCAACAAAAATTCCCCCTGCAACAAAAAGCTCTCAAATTTCCCCAGCTAGAATTCATAATTTATTTAGTCTAATTGAATACCAGATTGAATAAGAGACCATTGAGGGAGGGAGGGCTCTGAGCCCTGTTCCCTGGATCATATTAAGTATGGGACCTGGAGAAATGCTCCCTAGCCTTTCTTGCCTCATGGTGGCTTTCACTGCCCTGAAGAAGCCTTGTGGGCTCCCTGG